CTGTTGAAGATGAATGGTATGCATCATAACCTGTTGAAGATGAATGGTATGCATCATAGCCTGTTGAAGTTGATGGTTGTTGATTCTGAGGTAATGAATCGAATTGTGGTTCATCATAATTTACGTAATATCCTGGATTCTGCTCGTCAAGATATGCATCTTCATCAACTTCTAATTCACTTTCTTCCACTGTTTGAATCTTTAATGCATTGTTTCCGTTTATAAACATCGACATTGATTTTATAGTTCCTCGTCGATTCACTTTGGTTTCATTCACGCGTCCACTATAGACCTTACTTAATGCGTCTTTAGCATTTGAATGAACCATTGGCGTAATTATTTCTGCTGTTAATGATGGATGACCAAATCTTGTGGAAACTTTTTCACTCAAATGATCGAGGTCTTTATTTTCATTCGTTTTACAACTTTCCAAGTATGCTTCTCTGGGAGTATAGTAATGAATTTTTTGGTCAAATTTGCGATGACAAATCACCTTGAATAAGATCGTTAAAAATGGAAGTGGTAGAATAGTAATAGATTGAAAGTTTGCTTCTTTCAAATTCATCACTCCAATCATCGTAACTTGCCAAAATATAGTTGAGAAAACAATCCGATTGAAAATCAATCGCCAAAACGATCCTGCCGTTTCAATTTTTGTTGTAAAAACATACCTAAAGTAATAATATTAATTAATATTAATTATATAAGTTTTAAGGTAATGACTCATATTTTAAAATTCTACACATATATATTCATATATATTACTCTTACATTAGTTGATAACGATATATTAGATATGCCAATGCGAAATAAGCGAAACAAAAGAATAGAATCAAAGGCGCAATGACACTATAAAGAATTCCAATAGTAAAGAAAAACAGATGAAGGTTATAATATACAGGATAATCAAAATCTGGAGGACGCGAGAATTCTTTAAGATTTCGAGGAGTAGGCTTAACAAATCTTCTTTTTATAAACTTTATCATCAAGGAAGCAACTTGTGCCAAGTCAAATACAGCTCCAACACCACGCAAAGAAATGTAATTGATCCAAAAAGTGGAAACTTTAATCATTGAATCCGCAATTTCATCGAGAAGATTAGATTTTTTGATGACATTATAAATATCTCTCAAGTGTGCATCCCCTTCATCAATCTTTATTCTGATTTTTGTCCATACACCGACGAGTGTTGAGGCACTGGTATAAATAATGATACTATTTATAACAAAGAATAAATACAATTTTCCAAGTGTAGATCGATCAAGTGAAGATTTTGATATTTTCCCTTGTTGTTTAGCAAGTTGACGAAGAATAGATGGTAATATAAGGAAAAATATAGCCATTATAAGTGGGCTCATCAAAGCTTCCAAGATACCAGAAATAAATTTATTTTTACTCAAACCCTTTGTAAAAGGAAGAAGATATTCAATGTTTTTAACTTGAGCAAAAGTAGTTATAAAAGTTATAGGAACAAGCCAGAAAAAACATAACGCAATGAAAAGAGCATGACCAATAAGTGTCTTTGGACCTATAATATTATTTAGTAAAAAAAAGTCAATTATAAATAGAGTATCCTGAAACTTTTAAATTATAAATAAAGTATCCTGAAACTTTTAAAACATTATTAAAATCAGACATTACCTCTAATAGCATCAGACATTGATAAATTACCCCATATAATATCTTTTGGTAATGGAGCAAGCACTACCTTTGGAGTAACAACTTGTTGAGTTCGTTGAATAATTGATCTTTCTCTTAGTTCTTTGGCAACCTTATGAGCATCAGGAATGTTGTTAAAAGAAACAAAACCATAGTTCAATGGTTTTTTATCCGATATAGCATTACGACACTCCAAGATTTGACTTTCAAGGGACTGAATCTCTTGAGTATAATATTCAATACTATCAATAGAAGGACCGCATCTACCTTCAATGCGATGGCGCGGTCGCTCTTCTGGAATATTATCCGGATCTATTCATCATATGAAACATATGAAATATATGAAATATATGAAATAGGATTAGTGAATATAATAATGATATATAATGATAATACGCCATAGAACTTTAATTGATATACTCACCACTTAGATAATTTACTAAAACTGACTCCAATTTCCGAACAGCATCTTCATGTTTCTTAAGTAATTCAGGTAATTTCCCTACTTTTCTAGCTATATGTGCTTGAGAAATAGGACAATTGACATTGAAGGAATCCATAAGTTTTAGTAAACCTTGATCAGACTGCATCGAGTGTGGAACATTGGTGACCAATAATGTCCTTGCATGTAAAGAAGTTTGATATTCATCAGATTCAAAGTAATTCATCTTTAGCTCAGCATAATCTTTATATTGTTTATGAACGAGCCGATATATAAGGATTGAGAATATCCAAGTGAAAGCAGCATGAATCCAAAACCATTGTACCTAAAAGTGAGTACAAATTTATTGATATATTAGTTGATATAGTATTAGATATGTGAAGTAAAAAATAATACCTACATTGCTTAGATAGGAAACACTAAGGAATTGAAGTGGATTATCAGAGTCAGGAAATTTGTTGTCCGAATCACGATATGTACCATAAATATTTAATGGTACTAAAACAAATGTTCCCATAATGAATAGCCATAAAAATAGGTTTCTACATAAACTTATGAATCTTAGATACATTACAGCATCTAACCCAATTTTTTCTATTAATTGTGATTCTGATACACTTATTACTGGTTTAATCCAAGAGAAGAGGCCTGATTCAAGTTTTGGTGGTTGTTTTCTGATTATGTGAATTAAAAAAAAGGAAATTATTAAATTAATTCATATGTTTCTATTAAATACAGGATTAATGATATACTTACTTTTCTGGAGAATATTTTTGTTTTGGCGCATATACGACTGGGAGTTATGAAATTTTTATCATCACAGTTATTGATGCTGATTATTTTAACACTAATAAATTATTCGATAATTTTACAACCAATACTCACTCCCATTCCTAGGTCTAAGAATACCAAATATTATTAGAGTTCCAAAACCTAAACTGAAATTGATCGCTAATTGGGAATACATTCCCGAAATTGTAATCGTAGCGGACTGTTCTTCTTGCCCAACATAACTCATGTTTTTTTTTTTTACAAAAGAAAGAGCGATTCAAAATTTTCGATACTTTTTAAATGATACAAGAAATACAGTAATTGAATTTTTAAGTTTTATTTTCTGTGTTTAAGATAATATTATATTCATTGATTTTTAATGACGCATACTCTTAACTAAATATATGTGTAAAGGAAAAAGGAATGGAGATCATTGACAATGAATCGTACAGTCAAACAAAAAAAAAATTAATATTCTTTTTGTTTTAAAAAAAAAAAACAAAAAAAAAAATTAAACTAAAAAATATAAAGAATGAAATGATATAGAATTTAAAGAAAGAAGGTCAACAATTAAATGTTAGACTACGCGTTGTGTACGATGAAACGCATATTTGTATTGCTTTTGTGTTGTACGCATAAACGTTAAAGGTCTAATCTTAATTGACGTAACCGATTTTTAAAATTCGTCTAACCAATTTATACTATGTTCTGATACTTGTAAAGGGAAACTTAGTACGAATATAGGTTGTAATGTGGTTTTAACTTCATTCTAAATATAAAAGTTCATTAACCCCGTTTTTTGAATATGGTTTTAACTTGGTGTCTGATCCTCTTATTTATAGAAACATCTTGTTTATTGGAAGTAAATCCTTCAGTTTGATATGATCTGCATCAATCAACAATTATATATTATTTGCAGTGGCGACAAACTATTCTTTCATTACGTGAAAAAAAATAAAACTATTTAAGGTTAATCATTTTTATTCTCAAACTCGGCGGGTCAAAATTTTATAAAAAAAAAAAATCCTTCAAAATTCCCAGTTGAAATTACCAAGTGGTTGCACTAAATAAAAATCTTTTCCATATTATGTTCGTTTTGTTGAAAATTAACGTTACCGTTACCCAGTAGTAAGTATTGTAGCATTTATTTAATTTCTATTTTCCATGTGCAACTCAAATTTCCGATTGGACAAATTTGAAGTGTCATTAATTTGAAGATCACTACACAATTTATACAATTTATTAAAGCAAGTACTGTACAATTAACAAACCCCCGTAATGTCTTCAATAAAGGTAGTTGCACGACGTAGTCACGCTCAAACCAGGAACGTCTATGTAGATCTTTACTGGCTTTTTTTTTTACGTAATTTTTTTTTGTGTTAATTAGCTAGCTGTTTTATTTGATTATTTTTATTTCTATTTATTCTACTTCTTTCCACAGTATATATTTTGTTAATTTAATTTAATTTATTTTATTTTAGTTCTATTTTTATCTTATTTATTGTTTTTTTTTTCTAGAAAAAAAATAATTGCGTATAACTTCGTTTGATATAACATGCTGTGTCATTCTTGACGCTTCGAAATTAATTGTTGTAAATTTAGGATTTATTCAAATTGAAATAAAAATCTAAATATGATTCAAGTTGAAATAAATTTTTAATAAATCATGATTCAAGAGACGTTCCAATTGTCAATAAATATGTTTCAATCCAACGTATTTCATTCATGCATACAAATTTCATTATGTTTTACATACCAGATACCGGATTTGCACACTTGCCATTCTAGTTAGCAGTTAACCATACACTTCGTAATACGTTCCTGGTAATGATATAATTAAAAACAATAACGATAAATCGGGTCTGGGTCAAAGTTCCGTAATTCTGATCAATTTTTATTTGTCAGGATTTGATCCAGATCCCAATAAAAAAACTACCGATTACTTATAACTCTGGTCAAATTTGCAGATCATTGGCCAGATTCAAAATCAAAAAAGTTTGAACTTGGCCAAATTTGACCAGTTATAAGTAATCGGTTCTGCTATTTAGATCACAATCAAAATTAGCCCAGAAAATAACCCTCTACCCTATTTTTTCAATCTCAGATTAACGGAAATAGCAATAAAATCTTTATTGAAGTTACTCTCGCTAATCTGAGGTTAAAAAAAGTAGGATAGAGGGTATGGTGCTTATTTTCTGAGTTTTACGTATACTTAATTTTCTTGCTTCGAAATTTGGCGATAAATTATACGATTTTTTAATATCAGATATGTAGTATTTCTTTCTCTACGAACTTGCAATTATTGAGAATCGGTATTTTCAAGTCTTTTTGATGGTCGCTATTTTGAGAATGATCCTTTTTTTATCTTTCACTGATTTCCTTTTCTTTATTGTACAGATAGCATTTATATACTGATAGAGATAATAATTTTCTGTAGAAATATTGTAAACTTTATAATTGCAAATATAATTGTCCAACGCAATATTATGCATTTTCAATTACATTCTTATTGACTTTTATAAATATTTCAATATTAAAACTATCTTCAGAGTAGGGTTGGGGGCACGGGATTTTTTGGGGGCATGCCCAAAGGGGCATGCCCCTAGAGACAATATGATTGGCTAATTTATGTCGATCAAAGTATGACCGTTAGCCAATCAAACCTATCGAATTATTATCGATGAAATTAAACCTGTACATATTTATCAACCTTTGTTTAACGTTAATCTCAAACTTACGATCTACCTTCATTAGTATTAAAGCATCTTCATGTCGTGATCTATGATATTGAAGATAAGTATTATCATTGCAATCAACTCTGGATATAACGCATTTTATAACAGACCCGCTCTATAATGGGCTTTTTTAAAATTTTTACAGAATTCGGAATAGAAACATAGTAAATTATTACAAGGAACTTTTTAAGCTCGCCAATTTGAATAGACGCCATTTGTTAAAGGAAGAGTCGATTGTAGTAAGCTAAAGGTACGATCAAGATTGAATTTCTTGAATATTTTAATTAGCTTTTTTACAAGAATTCATTTGCCGTTTAATGCTTGCATATAATTATAAACTTTTTATTCTATGTACAGTTAAATTATTCTTTTTTTTTATTTTTTTTTTTAAAATGATGCAATTAACGGTTTAATGTTATCTTTTTTAATCAATTTTTTTTATTAATAATTTTCGAATGCTTATAATTGACAAATACATTAACTATTTTTTTTTATTTACAGTATCTCGGTTAATCTTGGTTAATAATATCATCAATTGACCATTCGTCTTCCGCCTCTTCCATCTGTAGGCCACTTTGTCTTGAATTAAATGCTTCTTGATTTTTCTCAAAGGCTTCGAAATCGAAAAACTCATCCATAATAGATGTTTCATCAGTATCCATTATAACTTCTTCTAGCTCTTCGTTCAACTCCTCTACCAATTCATTTTCTTCTTCAAAAAAAATATCAACGTTTTCATTATTGTAAGTTGAAAATTCAGTAACAGTTTTATTAGAATTTTCCTTTGTATGTACAGTTTTCTTAAGCTCATTTCTAAGCTGACCGAGTATAGAAAGATTATCAGGAGTTAACCTGTTTCTTATTTTTGATTT